AGATTTTTTTTTTTTTTTTTTTTTTTTTTTTTTTTTAGTTTACGGCCAAATTTCGATTATGCCTTAAGTCATGTTTATTATTCTATTCATATATGATACGATATATGAATATATGATATATGAATATATGATATATGAATATATGATATATGAATATATGTACGAAATATATTCAATCTGATCCCTTAACAGACTTTTTGGTATATTTATAATTCGACATTTTATATCAACAATTAATATTAAGAAAATTCATTATTTGATATTTGAGTTTCAATATAATAACTAAAATAAATATCCTATGCAAGGATTTCCTTAGGAATTATAAATAATAAATTTTTAAACAAATTTTAAAATATTGTTTGCCTGATTATTCTTTACACCCAAAAGTACTATTATTTATAGCTTATCCTAAAATATTGATTTTAAAAGCGCTTTAATTAAATGATTAAAGAAAATTTATATTTGTATAGTGAAACGCATTTTCATATTTCACATAGCACTAAACACAAACGCACTTTAATGTTTATTATTACACAATAATTATAGTGGAACTACAGATTGATGTACATACTTGATATCACAATTAAACACACAAATTCAAGTTCAGCTACTAGTTTAATGTTTGTCATACGCATGTACCATCGCGCTCTCTCTCTCCTCCCTTTATCTTTCATTTGCTCTCTGCCTTACTCCCACATTAGAATGATATTAACTAAAACTGTTTATTAAATAATTAACGCCAATGTTAAATAGCCGGCGCCCTCTCGCGCTCTCTGCTTTCGTTTGTTATCTCTAGAGTTCTGATGGAGAGAGCGCAGACACGAAGACGCCGATCGGCTCGAATTTGATATGTGATCGTGATTGAACTGGTACACGATGAAAATCGTTGATTATTTATTACATATATTTCCAGAGAAGTTTTTTTGAATAAAACAATGAGATTTGGATCGATTAAAATTCAAATATTATGCTTTGGGATAATACCAAACATTTAGTTATATGAAACGACTTGACCATTAATCTAAAGAATATATTTATAATCAAAAAATTATTCAATAATTTTCCGATTACACGTTGAGCTCTCCGAACTTCATTTTTCGTGCTGTTGCGTGTCACGCAATTAGAGCTCACGCCCATCTCTAGATGAAAGTTTTATTTTCTGTCTCGTGCGCTCGCGAGCTGGTCAGCCAGTCAGTCAGTCGATCAGACGTTAGTTGAGCAAGCACCATTGAGCGCTACGGAGCTGCTAAATTGGTCTCTATTGGGGCAACGTACGTAGGCGAAGGCTTACGCATTATTTCTATAACTATTCGAGTGTTGCAAAGAAATAGTCATGCGCTTGCTTACGGTCGTACTTGTTGCTATAGCTGCTCTTAACATAGTTGTTGGTGGGTTATAATGTTTTCTATATATATAAATGTTTACTTTATGTAAAAATTTCTACAAATAATTAATTAGCGGCACCTTCGAATGAAGCTTCCACTACCGAGTTACCAGAGGAAGATCATTGTGATCACAAGCTAACCAAATCAAATAAGTACCTGGACTATCCATTCTGGAAGAAGTTCTTCAAGCATTTGGTACCATTTACCAGTAGCTCACGTTCCAAGATGCAGTTCTTTCTATTCAAACGGGATTTCCCTGACTGCGGCCGTGAACTGTTTGCCAACGATGACGAGACCCTGGCACGCTCCGGCTTCGATGCACGTCATCCCACAAGGTAAGTGATCTTAGATGGGATTTTTACTCAGCTTCCAATGCACGCAGCTGATAAGAGATTGGAAAAAGTTTGCAATGCATACGATTGTAAATTGTGCATTTGTTATGCAAGACAGTCGTGTATTACGTTCGATAATTATATATTTGTAGTCCTCCACGATATTTCCCATTTGAAAAAAATTTATTTTGCATCATTTTGGTAAATGTTTTGCTTGAAGCAAAAATAAATTTCCGTTAGGCTAAACGAATTGTTTTTATTGTTGTTTTTGTTTTTTATTTGTATTTATTCACATGTTAAAACTGGTTTGCTGTTTTTATCAGCACACAGTACTCTGTATGAGACTCGGGCATGTTCTATTCAAGACATAGTTTGTAGAGAGTTAGGCAAAAGAGTAAACTTTAGAAATTATATAATCCCTAATCTTAGCAGAAAAGGACTAGCCAAAACTCTTAAAACTTTGTAAAATACCATTCACAAAATCATGTAGTTACAACAAAGAGTGAAATAAATTGAAATTGAAAAAAATATATATATATATAATCCATAAATTAGTAATGAATTATTATTATTGACATCAAAAAATTTAAGAGCGTAGATGCACATATAGATAATAGAAAAGCGTATTTTTCCTTTAAAAAAAATACTTTACTTTATAAATGATGAAAGTTAGTATTAATTATACAGCTAGAATTCATTGCGTAGGGTATGTCCTAGGAGACCACATTTTTTTTTTCTATTCGATTTTTAACACAGGCCTCTATAGCAACTATTAAAATTGACTATAGGGTATTGTCTAGTCAACTAATTGTAAATTGAGCATTTCATTGTATTATTATTATTATTTTTTTTTTTTTTGCTGTGTTTTCGTGTCGTTTTCACGCGCTTATCAATGAGTCATAAAACAGTTGCTTCGGAGCTGAGCCACACTAAGTGAAGTCAAATAGTTTTTGTTGTCAGCAAATTATTAGCATGAAATTTTAACATTAAACATTTAAATGTTAGCACAAACAAGATGAAATAGGCAATACAGTCTATTTGACTGTTACCAATAATTCCCCCGATTTTTTTTTAATTGAATTCGTATATTTTCAGAATTATTATACACGGCTGGATGAGTCAGGGCAAGGGTTCATTGAATCGGGATGTGAAGACCGCATATCTCAGCTTAACGAAGCCCAGGCCAAATGGCACGGATGACGCAATGGGTGAGCCCAAAATGCTGGCACCCCTTTATGAGGACTTCAATATTATTGTTTGTGATTGGAGCAAGATATCGTCGAATGTCAACTACTTTGGCGTGGCCGAAATGGTCGAGGATCTGGGCTATTTGCTTGCCGAGTTTGTGCGTTATCTTCATATGCGTGCGGATCTACGTTTCGACGATGTCTACCTCATTGGCCACTCGCTGGGCGCTCAGATTGCAGGCAGTGCCGGCAAACAGATCAGGCCGCATCGCTTCAACACGATTTTTGCGCTGGATCCCGCGGGTCCTGCGTTCCGGGAACAATCCGATGAATATCGCATAGATCCCAGCGATGCACACTATGTGGAGTCCATACATACGAGCATCGGCCTGGGCTTCGAACAGCCCGTGGGTCATGCCAGCTTTTATCCGAACTTTGGAAAAGATCAAAAGAAATGCTACGTCTACGGTTGTTCGCATAAGCGTGCCCATGATTACTTTGCCGAGTCCATCAATAGCACTAAGGGCTTCTGGGGCATACGCTGTGAGCGCTTGTCGAAGAAAACTTGGGTGCTGCTAGACAACGATGGCGAGTACCGCATGGGCGGTGAGCCCTCAGATCCAAAGAATGGCACCTTCTACGTTAAGACCTATGACACAAAGCCCTATGCTATGGGCACCATGAAAGCGCAGGCTGAGGCTTCCGCACAGCCAGAGAGAGTCACCGAGGTCTACCATTAAGGGCCGAAAATGATCAACTAACTGTGAATTATTGGTAAGAACTTGTTTTGGATTAGTAGTTGCTCGAATATTCTAAAATACTTCAAATTTAATTAAATACGAAAATATTCTCCTCACTAAAATAGTTTCATTAAAAAGATTCTGGTTTAGTCGGGTGTGCTTGACTAAGACTACTACTCGGAATACGGAATACCATTCACTCATATAAACAATATTATGTATATACATATAT